ATATCAAATCCCTTCCATGGGAGGATTCCGTTACTTTCTCTTGTTTGTGGATGATTATACACGATATTCTTGGATATATTTGATGAGATCACGTGATGAATTCAGCAGATTATTGCTCTCTTTTCTTTTCAACTTCTCTTCTTCTCTTCTTCTCCTTCTCTCTTCCTTCTCTCTTCAAGAAACTATTTTCTTTCATATTTTTTAATTCAGCAGATTCCTACTATATATATATATATATAATATATATTGTAAAAATTAAAAAACCGATGAACTGAACTGGTCAACCAGTTAACCGATTGGTTTCGGTTACCGGTTTTCCAAAAACTGGTAGTACCAGTTCGGTTACAAAAAAAAGGCCCACGGTTTGGTTCCCCTAATCGTGAGTTACAAAATTCATTTTAAACCCTTCTTATTGAAATTATTTTTTATTTTTTTTGGGGGGAGGCATCCAACCCCAGCCAGGAACATCATATATCTCTTGCAAAATAAATCTAAACACCATTTATTGCTGCTGGTTTCTACTTGTAAGAGGGATTAAACACATGCAAAAGATGTAGGAAAAATTAAAGTTTTGAGGTGCCCCATTTTTTCGTAATTTCTTAGTCTAAGAAGCACTTTTTTTCCACTATTTTCATCTTCTTTCATGAATCTTTTATATCTGGATAGACTTGAATGGAAAATAGTTGATGTTACATGGAAGCATTGTCAAAGGGTGGTTACATGAAAAACCACCTTGCAAGAACTAAAAAGAATAGTAAGCCTTGCAATACAAGAGGATACACAAAGTACCCATTGCAACCAAGTTACCAAATACATTTGACAAGAACACAAAATTTTTCAATGCAAACCAAACCAAAAAAGAGGATACACAAAGTATTATACTATCATTACCTATATCTTTATGCATTGTTAGGTGCCTAATTTGATGGCAAAATATACTAATGGATGTGAATTGGTTCATCCAACTGTTACTAGATTTTTTACTTGTTTCTTAACAATAAGGAGTTCATTCTTACAAAAGAAGCATGTAGTAACCATGTCTGCTTCTAAAGAATAACAAAGAAGCTGGTTTTTCCTTTTTTTTTTGTTTTGGAAGGCGCAGAGAAGCTGATTTGCAAAGAAGTATGATAAGGTGAATTTCTAGAATATTGCTTGTTTAATAACTTTAGGAATGTAATTAAGTATTGCTTATCACTAGCAGCTCCTCTTGTTAAGGTCCTTTGCAAGGTTGCTTCTGAGGAAAGGACCCCAGTAGACATAGTTACCTTTTCTCAAAAAAAAAAAAAAAAAGGACCCCAGCAGCCAGCAGAGCAGATATATCCATAAAGCAATGCATTGAGCAAATCAAATCATTGCAAGAAATTTAGGCAATGTAAAGAAGAGATATGTGCCATTTTGGAAGATAATTGCTGCATACTGGGATCTTCAGTTACATGGGCTTCCATGCACAGCAGGTTATTTCTTAAATCCATGCTCAATTTCAAGGTTGATATGAAGGTAAAATAAGGACTTTTTGACTGTTTTGAGAGGATGGTGTCATCTTCAAAAGAAAAGGCTTAAGGGATATGGCAGAGATAACAAGGAAAACAAAACAACCAGGTAAGTAATGCTTTCAAGTCTTAATTTCACTGTAACACTTAATTTGTCATATTAAGTTGATTTACTTATTATTAGAAATTCAGAATGCATTACAGCCCTTTGGTTGGATGCCTATGTTGATGGTCCTCCAGACTTGCAAAAATATGCAATATGAACTTTGGGCCTCAGATGTCATTCTTCTAGTTGCCGGCGTAACTATGAGCTTATTTGAACAAGAAATGTTTAGTTACATCATTTTTTATTTTTATTTACAAAATACTAACTATTAAACTAGGGATGTAATAAGTGATAGATATGTTTACTTTGAATTACATACACACAAAGAAAAGGAATAGGTTGGAGCAAAAAAGGCTAAATGGCAAATGCTCATCTAGGGAACTAAGAGCAACTTTCTACTAGACAAATAGATCTACCAACAGCATGGCTGATGCTTTGGCAAGGCAAGCAGTAGATAGGGATCAGCTCTTTTGGGAGATGGTACCTTAAGCTGCATCTGGTAAGAGTGCAATGCTGAACCAAAGTGAATTTGCACTACAGTTCAATTTTGCAGGTGTTTGGTAAGAATACATTTTTGTACTGAAATGAAAGTAAATATATTTTTCTGAGATTTTTGCATTCAAAACAGGAGCAAAGTTTAAGATCAAAGTTGGTCAATGTAAAAAAGTAGAATACTGTCTTGAAATTTGCGTTTGTACCCATCAGTAGGCCATCACAACCAAATTCATTTGGCAACAATGCAAAACCAAACCAAAAATTTGCATCTGCACTCTTGCCAAATGCAGCCTAGGGAAACTCATTATAACATAGAAAATGAATAATACAAATGGATTAGGTAGCAGGGGCTAACCTATCAAAAGGGATGCTTGGCACATTTACTTTTTGTGTTTCATCCTTTTCTTCACAAATCAAAAAAAAAAAATCCTTAATTTTTACCAATCAAAAAGACATATTCATAAAAAGATGCCAAAGCCAAGATGCAAAAGAAAATGGACAGAAATAGATCATACACAAATTATAATTCCCCTCCTTAAGAGTCAAGAATTATAGCATCTCATTCATTACAGAAATTAGTAAATCAATGACCATCAATTTTTCTTAAAATCAACAGTCAAGAGACTTTGGTTCTTTAAATAACTCTAACCACAACTTGGACAATGCAAGACTTTCCTGCAAACATCCTAAGGTTTGTCTCTTTATATGTACACCAGCATATGGCAAATGGAGTGAGATTCCACAAAATATGCACTCTCTTGCTATTACCTTTCAAAAGCCAAGCACCCACCAGGCCTTCTAGATCACCAAGAATGACCCATTTCCACACAAAAACGCTTGTTCAAATGCTACTAGATTTGAACAGAGAAAGTCACAATTAATTAGTAGATGTTGAACCAACTCATAGATGAATGACACAGCACATATTGGTTGTTCAGCACCTTCCCTTAGGCTAGGAGATTATAAATGATCAGAAATTTTTTGAGGTAGGTGGTCCACATGAAGAAATACACCTTCAAGTGGATGTGAGGATACCAAACCCAACAGCAGGATTAGAACCACTAAAGAAAGATTTGAAGGATTCCATAAAGTGGATCCTACTAAGGGACTCAAACCACCTCAGCAGTTATCACCCCATAAGAATCAAACACTGTAGCATCCTTGTCTCTGGCTATCTGGAACAAGCGTGGAAATTCTTCACAAAGTGCCTGACCACCGCACCATATATCTTTCCAAATCGCAAAACAACACCCAGTTGCTATCACCAACTTTAAAAGAGAAGTGTTTCATGTTTAAGGATGTCCCTCCAAACACCTGAACCATGAGGACCCAAGGAATCAATCATTGGAATCCCACCCAAAATGTAAGTTTGGTTCTCTTCAAAAGATCTTTGTTCACCACACAACAATGGAATACCAACATCCCCTGGCCCTTCTTTTGATAGTGTCATGTGATCATACCCCAATCAACCAGACAAATATCTCCTCTTTGTCCAGACCATCCTATAGAGTCTCCTTCTTCTAAAGATACTCCACCACTAAGGTATGAATTGTAAAAAGAAAAAAAAAAGTATACCAAAAAGTTGGACAAAGCACTTTGAGTAAGGATAATTTTAACCCCTTTAGGTAGAATGTCATGATCCTGCACAGCCAATTTTCTATAGACCTCTTGACTACAGGATGATCCAGGGGCAGAGCCAGGGGGGGACCCAGGGGAGCCAATGCCCCCCCCCCCCTCATGAAAATTTCCTAGCTTCACCCCTGGGAGGATCCAATATCATTATTGATTTGTAAATTGTCCCAATAAGAGATCTGATATGTTTGACTGGTATAGAGTTCGATGATGAATTAACCACTGAGAAAGGAGATCCAACCTTTCCTGGGGATACATCATCTTCATCTCTTAACGCAAATAAGTGCTTGAAAGAGGTAGAAGACATGCCCATGAGAATGTAAACTGTAGAACAAATAACTTTCTATTCCTTCAATGTTCAAATTGAGTAGTTTCTAAAATGTAGAAAAATTTTTACAAGTCCTAGGAATACGTTGTATGCAAGAGAGAAAAAGACAAAAGAAAAGGGAAAGGGAAAAGGAGAAGAATAAGAATGTGTTTTTTACATCAACATTAGAGAGTGAAGGAGAAGAGGATTTACCTCCTGAAGTTTTTTTTAATAAGGTAAGGTAGAAAATGAGGATGATTTCAACTGAAGGAAGACTTGACTGAGTTTTAATGTTTACAACTTCGCATTTTTTGATTTGCATATATAGACTTATTTATATTTTAGGTTGGGCATTGAGCAATATGCAGAACTCACAAACTTGACTATGCTTTCTTTTCAGTTGAGTTATTTTTTTAAAACTTAAAATTGGTTTTCGCAATCAGCAACATGCAGAACTCACAACTTTTTTTTGGGTCATGACTTATTTTTTGTAAATCTCAGGTTGATTTTGAGGATTGGGTGATATAGTGAACTCATGACTAGTCCTTTTATAAAGTCATGAATTATGATTTTCTATCCATGATTTACATGTTGAAATATGATGTGAATGATGATAACTTAAACTGATAACTAAATTATTTTTCTCGACTAAGTATGGACATTTAGAGTGGAGATGCTCATTACTCTATTGTTATTTAATAATTATCCATGAAACTTGTTATATAATTGATCAATCCAGGTTTTTTTAATTATATGATTTATAACATTTTTTGATGACTTTCAAAGTTTCAAATTGAATCCTTATGTTTTGAATCCCAATTCAATTTGAATCCTACACTTCAGAATTTTCCAATTCGATTCTACTTTAACAACATTGTTAGTAAATATATTAACAAATATAGCAATAAGATGGGCCATGAAAGGCATTCCTAGAAATCATCCAATTCAATGCAACTCAAAGTACCTAGTTTCAAAGAATGGTGCCAAAACCAGGAGCTCATGCAAATAATACAAAGAAAGCAACAATACATTGCCAACTTAAGGTTAAGAGATTATTTCTCACTTATTATTACTTGTAGAGATGTCAGTAGGTCGGGTTAAGTAGTAAACCTGCACTGGCCCAACCCTATCGGGTTTTGGGTCATGTTCATGTTGAGGTGAGCCCATTCTAAACTCAACCCGTTGACATTGCAGCATTGAAATATTTGTATCTAGGCTTGGTTGAGTATATGTCCACTACATATGGGACGGTCTGGTTGGATTCCCTCCCCCCCCCCCAACACACACACACTTATTATTATTTAGTCGGTCAAACCCATCCATTGAAATCCTGATATACTTGCACTATTTTCAATTTCTAAATTTTTTTCAAAGAGAAAATTGCATCTGCATGTTGACACATCAGAATAGCTCATTATGTTTCTTTTTTTGTCAACAAGTCAAAACATAACATACATGACATGGTGTAGAAAGGTACAGTAGTAGAAAGAACCATCTTACATTAATGCCAACTCTCCGAAGCATGACAACTTTTCAGCTGTATATCTTTGCAGAACCTTTTGCACTTCTCCATTTTTCTCGTCCTGCCATTTCATGTATCTGGTTAACAACCAACCTAAAGAAATTCACTGAAAGCAGGCAAGAATAGCTCAACAAATTGAAAAACAGCAACCATACTGTCAACAGGAAACTAGAAGAACAAAAATGGTTGGGATAATTTTACAGAAAAGAAATTATTGTTTCAGATGCCCTTTATCAATATCCATATATAAAGAAGATAAAACACCCAACTAAACTTAATTATCTAATGGGTGAAAACAAGCATGCCATGCATATCTCTAATAAAATGATTACCTGGGTAGCCAAGACTTCAAACTCCCCGCTGCCAACAACAAAAAAGCAGTCTCCTTCTCCACCCTGCAGTAAATGGAACTCATTATACTTCAGCAGTAATGACTCTGGAAAGGTAACCAAATATCAGAAAAGAAAAACATCCATCATTATGTAGTAACAAGTAAATTCCATGGGTTCTTGTCAGAAACTGTAGAGCTTCTCCCTGAATGAAAAGGCTATTGTTTGCAAGTGGCACACATGAAAAGGAATCTTCTCAGTTAAAAAGGATTGTACTTTTAGGTTTCTTTAATATCAACAGGAACATCCATTTGTACTTGAGACAGCCAGAAATGCCTCTAGGTTTGTTTTGTAGTTCTTCATAAATCTTAGGCAGCTTGTTATCTTGTTGCAACTTTCACTTTCCACTTGGAACTTCATATAATTAGATAATGAATATTGTTCTAAATCTAAATGAAGTTCAGCTATATTTTTAATTTTATACCATGCATCTTGAGGTAAATGCACAATATAAAGTCACCATTATCCACAACTAACAGGAAATTCATATTCTCAATATTTTATATAACTTAACAGAGACATTCTTTCTTGTTCATTTGTTCATCTAAATTTTCACTTTTTTGTATTGGTGCATGTGTGTGTGTGTGTGTGTGTGTGTGTGTGTGTGTGTGTGTGTGTGTGTGTGAGAGAGAGAGAGAGAGAAAGAGAGAGAGAGTAAAATAACCTGCTGCACAACAATGTCTCCAGGCTGGACCTCAACTCTTCGCATGCAATCCAACAAAACATGGCATTGAGAATCAGTAAGTTTTCTGAAGAGAAAATGGTCATGCAATGCCCGTTCAATATGTGCCTATAACAGAAGATGGATATTGAATGATTAGTTTCCAATACTGAAAATTAAAAATAGTTAAATTATTCAAACATTTTATACAAAACCCAGAAATGAAATCATTAAAAAAGAATGGTAACACTTTACTTCTTCTTCCCATGTTTTTCTATGCGATGGAGATGGAGGAACCCAAACTTGCCCATTCTCTAGGGAAGATTCAATGGCACGGAGACGAGCCCGTGACATATCATGCCTTACACGATGGTTCCTAGAATTCCAGCTTATGGTGGAAGGAGATTCAGATCCTGTCACTTCTACAACTTGAGGCAGATGATTAACGACAACATCTTGAGTAACTGATTGAGCACTGCCAGTCTGGGAGAAAAGACAAAAGCACAATTTACTCTTACAAGTACAGGAAAAGAATATGGGAAGCCAACTAGGTTGTGGATGAGAAGGCACCATACATTAGTTAGCCCATTAATATGAACAACTATGATTGTAATGTCATCGGTACGAGTTTCATACTGCAACCAAAGTCGATAAGACTCAGCAACAATTGCGGCACAAGCATCACGAGGGTCTTTGAATTTTGCAACCTGAAAAATCAGTAGCAATATAAGAAAAGAAACACAGAAAAATTAAACATAATAAGAAAAAAAGTAAAGACAAATGACACCATCATCATCTAAGCCTTATCCCAATTATAAGGGGTTGGCCACATGAATCCTGTTTCACCATTCTGTTCTGTTTAATGCCACATAGAAAAAGGTACATGTTCATCTTAGTTCAAAGCAAGTACTGTAGCAATTTGCTAGAAAGCTAAAAAAAAATAGGCCATAAAGAAAATACTAAGGGGTTATTTAATAATGGCTGAAGTGGCTGTACTGTAGCAACTGCCGATACAGCCCTCTTTCTCTCTCTCATGTCTCATCTTTCTTTCCAGTTCCACTCCTAAAATTTTTATATGCAGTATTGCATGTGCTAACCTATGCAATACTGCATATAAAAATTTTAGGAGTGGAACTGGAAAGAAAGATGAGACTTGAGAGAGAGAAAGAGGGCTGTATCGGTAGTTGCCTGTGGCTCTTCTCATGGTTCAATTACAAGTTGAATTTTTTACAAGATTTGTCAATTTGATCCAATTTCTTGACAATCTGTCAACGAATGCAAGTAGTGTCATGTTAATTTACAGGGGTTTATGCTTGCTATGAGCATTTTGGGCTTCCAATTATATATAGTTTCTGAACATCCTACCAAGTTAAACCAAACTTTAAGCCAACTCAACAGAAGTGGCCAAGTGTAAGTTAAGAACAACTGAGTAGCACCCAGTTTGTCTTACCTCAAAACCCACCAGAATTGCAACCAAGCCATAAGTATCTCACAGTAGCTCTTTTGTCCCGTTGTTGGATGCAAGGACTATTTACAAAACCAGTCTCTGATCAATGGTCAAAAATTAACCAATTGACTAGGTATTTAACACAGATTAAGAGTGATTAAATTTGAATAAATCAACAAGGAACTTTTAATGCTATTCAATTTTTAAAAAGTCATTTCCTAATTGTAGTCAAAGGAAATATGAAGGTTTATTAGAAGGCTGATAATTAGTTTTTTTATCAGTCTTGCAAGGAATTAGGATACATTACTTTGGTAAGACTTGATGGAATTCATAGATAATTTCATAGCACGTAGACACATTTTTTGTGTTATTGAATTCAACTGATTTTTTTTCCTTTTCAGTATTGTACAAACTAGACTTCTAATGCATTATAACCATCTCTATATTTGCTATAATGTAGTCCATAATATCTCAGCTTGTTCTTTTTCTTCTATTATCTAGATTCCTAAATCCTAATACATTATAACCCAATGTGACTTCTTCTGTTGCATTGGTTCAATAATCCATTACAAAGAAGAGATTGAGGATGATGTCACTCATACAATTATAGCAGGATGGGCAAAATGGAGGGGTGCATTAGGTGAATACCACTTCAGCTAGAAGGAAAATTCTATAAAACAATTGTAATGCCAACTATGTTATATGGAGAAAAGTGTTGGGGAGTTAAGAAACAGCATGTCAAAAAAATGAGTCTGCCAGAAATGTGAATGCTTAGATGAATGAATGGTAAAACTAGAAAGGAGAGGGTCAGAAACAAGCCATATGAAGGAACCTAGAGTAGCTCCAATAGGTGATAAAATGCAAAAATGTATATTGAGATGGTTTGGTTACATGCATAGAAGACCATCTATAGCACCCATTAGAAGAAGTGATCTATTACAAGTTGAAGGGGCTAGAAGAGCTAGGGGTATACCAAAAGGACTTGGGTGTAAATAGCAATAAATGACTTAAGCACCCATAATTTAACAAGGTTTGTGGCACTAAACAGAACAGAATGGTGAAACAGGATTGATGTAGCCAACCCATCATTTAATAGATTAATTACTAGTCTTGTTTGATTTTAAAAATTTAATTAGGTGTACTCTCATCTCGAATTTGATCAATTAATAGAAAAACGTTAAATATTCTTGTGTGTGTGTGTGTGTGTTTATTTTATTATTCTATTTATATTAGGTAAAGGGTTCTTAAACTTTTTTATTTTTTTCTATAAAATGTAGCATGTAGTATGGCAAAAAGAGAATGATGATGATGGTGGTGGTCTATATAAAACCGAAACCATTTCTTAAAAGCAGCATTGTTATATTATGGAAATAATTTGCTAATCCATTAAAGTGTAGAATGGATTCATATTATTAGGCCTCAAATGATGTTATATGGCACCAAAGAATTGTACCAATTGTCATTATTAGCATTTTTTAAAACACTATAAATAAAACGAGATCTAATTAGAAATAATTGGTAGAAGTACAACTTTTATATTAAGTAAAATTCTCATATTGGTGTTATTTATCAAAAAAAAAAAACTCTCATATTGGTGTTAATTTGTGAGCTTTTATTCTATATATTCATAGTTCTAATAAGTAATCGTTTTCCCACATCCTCTAGTAACATAGATCCCTAAATGGTAACCATACTGATCACCAAAAACTTATTTAAAAAAAAAGGAAGAAATAAGCAAATATAAATTCTGCCCAGCATCAATATAGGAAGATCGAGTGGGAAAAGTAGCCAATGAAACTAATATCGTACATAGACTTTGAATCATAAAGAAATGAGATGAATAAGGATTCCCTTACCATGTCAACCACAGTTTGACTAGAAAGAAACTCGAAGACTCCATCACTAGCAATCACAAAGAATGGATGATCTTGTGTAAGCTCCAAAACAACAACCTCAGGGGTGGCAACAACTCCAATAGTCTCAGCAATGGAGTCACCTATACTTCTTGTAAAAGCTGTACCAGGGTACATCCCATTTTGCACCCAGAGTCTTGGCGGATCACCATCATCACCTTCTTCAGTGCCCCAGCACTGCACATCCGGGTTCTTCAGCCCTTCTATCTGATCCAAGGTGAGAACCCTGGCTCCACAATGTCTTACCCTTTCAAGCTCATCTGCTCGGAAAGGAGTTTGGTCAATAGAGAGGTCCACAGCCACAATGTCTTTCCCTCTCCTCTCTGCTATAACAGCCCTAGAATCACCGGCATTTGCCACATATAATGTCCTACCCCGAACCAATATTGTTACTGCTGTGGTCCCACTCATGCTGTCATCTAAGCTGTCTGAATGCAACTGCGAGTTTGTTGCTAAGAAGGCTGCATGACATGCCTCAACGGCATTCATATGAAATCGACTATTTCTAAGCAAATTTTCACACAATTTCCTCTTCACAAACTGTGAGCACTGTGCTCCAAATTCTCCATGCCCATCAAACACCCCAAAGAAGTGGTCATTGGGGTTTGTCCCAAATGGGGTATGAATGCAGAAACTGTCCTGGTTTGCTTTGTCAAGTGCTTCTGGGTAGTACCCTCTTTGGGATAGATACGAGTATTGCAGTTCATAGCTTCCTGATGGAACCTTAACCGTACGGGACCCATCAAGAGGTAGAAACTGTGAAGAAACTCTTGATAGCCTAGTTATACCCATTTCATAATCCCTATTTAGACTTAGGTGACTCAATTGATCTCGGAGTTCACCTTCATGGCCGCTTGAAGAACTAGGAGAAAAAACAGGAACCCCACCTGGTCTCCCATCTTGATTTTCTTTAGTCCGAGAACCCCTTGGAGAACTGCAAAGATCCCCGATACAAGCTGTGGAATAGATACACCCCATTACTGAAAACGCCCAAAGAAAATAAACCCAGGTCCCAGAATTGCGCAAAAATTCATCGGAATAGCTCCTCAAAATTCCAAGGTACCGCCAAATGCAAAATTAAGAACTTGTGCCGCAGATGAAGCAAGCCGAAATCCCGCAATCTCAGGAAAAATGCATCAGGTTGCTTCAACAACTTCTTTGTATCCTTGAACTGGTTCTCCGACCCAATTGTGAGTCTTCCGACGTGCCAATTCAACATAAGCAAACTAAAAAACCAAGAAAATGAAGTAAATCCATCAGAACCTATTCATACCTTCCTAATCAGGCGAGCTGGTCATTAAATTGCAGTTATGTTCATGTACTGATTTCGAAATAGACAAGACTCAGATGACACAGAACCGAGAAATTTTATTAATTCCCCGTGGTATTTAAATTTGATCAGTTCAGGTGAAGCGTCTTGTCTCAATTATCAAGTTGCAGATTCTTTCCTGATCTTACTGTAGAACAATTGGAACTAGAAAGTACGAAAAGCAAAGGTAACAGTAAAAAAATCAAAAGCAAAGAAAAAGAAAAGAAAAATTAGCTGAAACAGTGACCACACCTTTGATACGAATACTTCCAAGTCGGGGAAAACTCAAGAACAAAAACCCAGTAGCGGAAATTCAGTAAACTTAGATGATTTGCTCAGATTTCTTGTCCCTTGGCCGAGTTTCCCGGTTCTGTTGCTCCCTCCATTGGATACTCTCAGTAAGGCGCCGGAGGCGTAAATACGCGCACCCACTATAATTCGAGGACGGATTCCTTACGTGGAACCACGCACCATGAGAAGGGGCAAGCCCACCGCTGTCCATGCGCGTACCTTAGAGAACTCCTACGACAGCCATACTTGTGGTGGGAGGAAAGAGTGTCCCTGGTGGGTGGAGACGTAGCGCATATGTGGACTTGGACTGTGCCACTGTGGAGAGTGGGGACTATCCTCCTCTGCTCTCAGGGCCTCTGCCCTGCCCCCTCAGCTTTTGTTCTGACATTACTCACTCCTTTAGCTTTTTGTTGTTGTTGGCTTCGGAAAAAGAAAAAAGAAAAATGGCTACGTCATTTGCCACGTGTCTCATGGATAGAGGGACCCACCATACCTACGACTGAACCACACATGCTATTTCTTTTTTTGCGAGTCAAAATTTGGAACATAAAACCACTACCACAATTCACAAAGAGATGGAATGATTTGGGCACATCTCTGGTTCTGGTTAAAAGACAAAACACCAAAAAGAAAATTCAAATCAGATGTTATTTCATTTTTAAAGCATATAAATATACTTTTTGACCACTCACACGTCAGGGGTGTGCCCTCCCTCCTTCATCAATCAAGAAACAAGAATGGAATGTGCTCAAATCAGTTTTAATTTCTGGATTGCTATTGAATGGTCACAGAACTCACAGGTTCACAGCAAGCTAAGACCTTGGAGGCATGCTAACTGTCTGTTTTCTTTATAGTAGAAATAAGTATAACTTGTTGGCAAGATATTAAGCCCAATTTTCTACACAAGTATCTAATCTAGCAAGGGTTAAACAGAGCATTTCTATACATTGATTAACTTACACACAAAGCCCCAATAATCCAATTGAAACTACCTCCACTTAATCGTTCTTTACATCCCACTAGAGAGTAGAGACCCCCACCCCTTGACATTTACCTGGTTTTTTAATGGTTTCTTATTGCAAAAGGTCCAGGGATTACCTACCCTAAAGTCATAGTTAAATTCCACTTCACTTTTCTTACTATTCTATCTATAGTCATTCCGCTTTGCTCTCTCTTTGCCAAAAGGTGGTGGAGGGATGAAAAATAAAATTGACTGAACCTAACCTCTTATTTTATGAAATTCTGTCAACAGTTGGGTATCCATTATTCAAATAGGAGTTATATATATATATATATATATATATATATATATATATATATATATAT